GAGTTTAGTTTGCAATGAAAAATTTGAAAGTAGTACATCAAAGAAAGCTATCCAATTGATATGAATTCATGATGAATTTTATTGAACTCTGTAAAATTACATTCGAATATTTGCATTAACTTTTAAGATACAATCGAAGAAGTTTTTAATACAATACTGCCTTAAAAAACATGGCAAGTAAATTTATCTTATTCTTCAATCCAACATATTTCTTAATAACTTTTGGTTTTAAAATTTTGTATCCAAGGTTATAAAGAATTCATCTTCATGGTTTTTTTTATTTTTAATAAGGGGAGATATGGTATATCGAGCAGGGTATCGTAGAACAATGTCTTTCTATGCCTGATTTCAAGAATGCGAAAGATATTATAAATATTTTGTTCTAGGTTTAACACTTTCAAATGGCTTATAGTAATATGAACGAAACAACGTCTGCTTTGCGCTTTGCTGATATGGGTTCATTACCAAAACGAATGTTGGCACCTATTGAAGGTTATGAGAAAGCACCACTTGTTTCACTCGAAGAAGCTGTGAAGCCTCTTGTTAAAATTGTACCGAAAGTTGAAAGAAACGTATTCGTAGTCAAACAAAACTGTCAAGAACCAGAAGATGATTTAACACCTGACGAATCAGCTTCGATTATGCTATACACTTATGAATCGATGCCACATGAAGACTCCCTGTACGTTAAACTTAATGAAACTTTACGATCCGAACAAAGAAAAAATTTAATCCCATGGTTTCTGTATCTTCGACTCATACTGACGGCGCTTGCTCGTCTTCCATCGAAGCGTCGCTCCATTTTTCGAGGAGTCAAAGAAAATTTGTGGGCTGATTATCCACTAGGCAAGGTATTCATTTGGTGGGGATTTTCATCGTGTACGTCATCGATCGGAGTGTTGGAAAATGAACAATTTTTCGGGAAAACTGGCAACAGAACTCTGTTTCAAATAGAATGCACTACAGCAAAAGACATTAAAAAACATTCATTCGTGACCGGTGAAGACGAAATACTTTTATTACCTGCCCGACAATTTCAAGTCACATCTTGTCTAGATACTGGCAGTGGACTGCATATTGTACAACTCACAGAATTAAAGCCACAGTTCAATCTTCTTGAGCCAGTTCCGGTACCAAATCCAACAATTCAACCCAAGAAAAGTTCGCAAGTGAAATCTCAATCATCAGCAATATCAACAACGGCTAAAACGAAACCTATCGCTGGAGCCATGGAACAACAATTCGCAACAATGAAGCTAAGCACGAATACAAAGTCACGAGGTCAGTACTATTTATGAGTTAGTTAGAAATATGCAAGTAGGAATGTAAAGTTTGCTGAGAAATATAGTTGATAATTGCAAATGTGTTTATTGATGAAGGACTGACTCTTAATGCACTTCTTCATTGTGCTTTCTTGAACAAAAAAAAACAGGTTGTAACTGAAGTTTTTTGTTTCGCTTCAATTATTAGAAGAAATACTGATCTTATGAGTAGTCACTAAGTAGTGAGTTGCTTGCTTAGTTGTTCTGTGAAATCTATACCCAAATGCGCAAATGATTAATGTTCAGAAATTGTCTATGTTTCTATTCAATATTTTCTATTATGTTCACCACTTAGTCTTAGTGTGTAGAAAACTTCAACAAAGATTATGTACATTATTAGAAATGAATCGACGTCAAAATAAGAAGTTTAACAATCTTAATGAGGGTGTGGGTGTGAGTCTTCTATTCGTATTCACATCGTCCCCCACACCCTCTTACATCAAGAATGGAGTATTTAATGGGAAAAGAATGCAGATATATATACATGCATGCAAAACAAACAGGATATGTCGTAGTACATAATTTTAAACCAGAGATATATTTGTTTCATTCCTATCAATTGAGTGTCAGAAAAAAAAATTTGTTAAGCAATAAATCTGGCTCATACTGATAAAAATTACATGTTTTTAAAACATACGTTGTGGGTGTAAGTTAATACAATAATTACACTTGCAGCTGCACCCTCGAAAAAAACAGATGTTAGATCCTGCAAGATCCAATGAGGTCTTACTCCTATAAGGTTTTTTCTATGATCTTCTTACAATATCGAACAATATCTTTTATGCTCACTTTTTTTTCAAGATGTTCTCAGATTTTGATTGTGCGGTGTCAGCAAATAATCTTACAAGACTCAATGATTTAAGACACTGATTTGGACAGACTGGATCCTTCTTGTCAGATCTTAACAGATCATATAAGATCCAAAAAAAGAAACATACGCGGTACATAATGTAGATATTGCCTGTTAGCATCTGATCGTGTATGGTCTGTCCTGTTTCTTTCCCTTATTCGAGAATAGTTGATTCCATCAGCTTTCCGATGAAGAACAGTACCTGGGGAAAAGACTCGAATAGTTTACGTCAGTTTTTTTCTTCTTTTTCTATACTAATAGTGTAGAAAACGGTTATCTTTATTTTTCACCTTTCTATATTAATAGAGTACAAAACGGTTACTTGTATTCCTCATTTTTCTGTAGTGATAAAATAGTAAATCCTATTTATTTTTTATTTTTTATATTGATAACATAGAAAATCTTAGCTTTTATTTTGTATTTTTCTACATTGGTAATAAAGATAACAATTTGTTTTATTCTCTATTTTTTGTATATTGTTGACATAGAAAATCTTAGTTTTTATTTTGTATTTTTCTATATCGATAATACAGAAAAATAAGAATTAAAACTAACTGATATTTATATTATCAATTAAAATCAATAAGAATTCAAAAATAAGATTTTCTATATTATCGTTATAGAGATATCAAAAATTAAAATTGAGATTTTCTATATTATCAATATAAAAAATCAAAAGTAATCAATAAATTTTTCTAAACTGCCAATTTAGATAAACAAGAAATGAGAATTAAGATTCTTGTATTATTGATATAGAAAATAAAAGCAATAAAACTAACTGTTATCTATATTACCAACATAGAAAAATTAAAATTAAAATTAATTGTTATTTATATTATCAATATAGAAAAATGAAAAATAATGAATAGGATATTATATAATATCAAATATAGAGCAAATGTTGACTGTACTTGTTCTAAAATAAGACTGAAGTTTATGTGCAAAAAAACGAAGCAAAGTAGCCGATCAGACTGATCATTTCCATGTGTATAAGAAATATTTGAGAAGTTTGAATTAATTGAAATAAATCTATAGTATTAATAAGCATTTCATATAGATCTATGTCATTATCTATAAGTTGAACACAAAATTGCCTACTAGAGTTTTATGTCTCACAATCTGTTTGATTTAAAAAACAGAAAGTATTGTTTTCTTTCTGACTCTCATCTTCGAGTTGTTTGACACACAATTAAAGGTCTCATACCGTTTTGTATGTATTTGTTTTTTGTCGATGAAAGAAAAGAAATAATACTAAAATGTACTTTCTTCCAATTGCACTGAGACATTAAACATATTAAAAATACATGACATTACATGTAATAAAAATGAAAATTGATTAAATAGTATTAAATTCAATCAAGATCTCGATTATAGCTAGATTCTTCATAGATAAATTAAAAAGGATGAAATTATTTAAATTATTTTTAGGGAGTTTTATAAAACTGCATGACATTTTTTATTAACTTCATCGGTTCCGTAACTGACCATACAAGATATAATCATAGAAGTATTGTTTCTAGTTTAAAGCTCAAATCAATATCAACCTTTAGAAAATTCTAGACCAACAAAAGAAACTTTCTTCTAGGATTTAACCAGTTCAGAATGCGATACAATAACAATTTGAAGAAGAAATCTTCACACTTATTGCTATTGAGAATAGCTAAGCTCATGATAAAATCTTTTACGCTCGTTGCTTTTTTGTGAGAATCCTCAAAAATTTAGACCTATTGAATAACCTACAAAACATAAGCTTGCAAAGATTTTAGATCAATGTTTCGATAGAAGATTCGTATTGTCTTGTAAAGAAGCGAGAATATTTAATTGTAGAAAGATCGAAATCGATCCGTGATCGAAACTACTATTGTTTAAAAAAACGTGTTCCATATCCTATTAAGTTGAAAATTTGTAATACATTAGAAATGAATTCAAAATAAAAGATTTGATTGATTCGTATATAGATTATTGTTTGTGCTACAATGCAGAATAATGAACATGACAGATTCTTCAAATATTCTTGAACTTGGGAAAGATTTGTTTTTGAGTTCTTCTTATCTACTAAAATTCGAACTTACGTATTTTTTTATCTAAACTTATCTTATTTAGCTCTTCGATTAGCCTTTCTACAAACTACTTGTTTGTTTGAGATTCAGGAATAAATTACTCAATAATAAGTATGATGCAAAATTAATGACACAAAATACTTTCGAATAATGTATGATTTATATTTGTCACACATTCGTAAATGGAATAAGAAAGAAAAATACTTACACAAAAAATTTGTAATTTTTTCATATGACTCAGTCAAAAACGTCTTATGCATCGTAGTTAAGTATAATTAACTATCGTTATTATCTAGCAAGATGTTTTTAACGAATTCATATAAAAGTTGCAAATTTATTTTGTCTCATTTCACTCAGAAATGTGTGACGAACATAAATCATACACCGTTTCCTATCAACTGATAACAAAATTGTTTTTCCTTACGTTCAAATTCTATTATAACTCATTTTATTGTAAAATCCAAACAATAAAAAATGAAATAATTTTTAAATATATTTCAAACTCGAACTAACGAAATCAGTGAATATATTGAAAAATTCGATATAAAAGAAAATTTCATTTACGATAAAATTCGAGTTAATCACAATTTTTCACATTATCAGTTAAATTTTAGTTAGTTTCAAAATATTTGAAAACGTCAATAATATTTATTTTCAACATTGAGAAAAACCAGATTCGAATCAAGTTCATAAGTAAAAAGCTTTTGTAATTGAGAGCAGTTCAATACTGTTTAAAACAAATGAGAATGATTCATTTCAATGAAATTGATGTTTATTTCTACTCCTTACTTTCATTTCGTTTCAGTCCCACTACGTGCAAGTTTCATTGATATTCATCCGAATGCAAAATGGGCACAGAATGGTATCACTGTTGCTGGAGGAAATGGATCGGGCAGGGAAACCAATCAACTTTATAACCCATGGGGTTTGTACGTCGACGATGATCAAACGATTTATGTCACTGATGAGCAGAATGATCGTATTGTGGAATGGAATTCTGGTGCAACGAATGGAAAAGTAGTTGCTGGTGGAAATGGACAAGGACATGAAGCTCATCAGTTAAATCACCCATTAGATGTGATTATCGACAAAGAGAGCGATAGTCTCATCATCAGCGATAGATGGAATAGAAGAGTAGTTCGATGGCCTCGTCGAAATGGTACTCGTGGAGAAACAATTATTTCAAATATCTCTTTCGGAGGTTTGACAATGGACGACAATGGTTCTCTCTATGGCCGTGACTACGAAAAACATGAAGTGAGACGATATAAAATTGGTGACACTCAAGGAATAGTAGTTGCAGGTGGTAATGGACAAGGAAATCGTCTCGATCAACTCTCTAAGCCCACCTACGTATTTGTCGATCGAGATCATTCAGTTTATGTGTCTGATTATAAAAATCATCGTGTAATGAAATGGGAAGGAGGTGCAAAACAAGGTATTGTCGTAGCCGGTGGTCAAGGAAATGGAAATAGTCTTACACAATTGAATTATCCTTATGGAGTCGTTGTCGATCAATTGGGTACTGTCTATGTGGCTGATTTTGGGAATCATCGAATCATGCGTTGGCCAAAAGGAGCCAAACAAGGAAGTGTCATTATTGGTGGAAACGGTAGAGGAGCACAGTCGAATCAACTCGATCGTCCCATAGGTTTATCATTCGATCGACATGGTAATCTCTATGTCGTCGATAGGGGCAATCATCGAGTACAAAAATTTAATATCGAATGAAATTCAATACGATGATGAATTTTATTTTTTTGTTCTCTTTCTCTTTCAAATAAATCGTGATTGGATGAAAAAAATGATTTCATAGCTATTCTATTCTCTTCGCGCGCGCGCGACCAGGAACCATCCTGGTGGAGCCGTGGCGAGCGTAAAGCTCATGCACGCGCGGGAAGACCCACATCATTCACATGCATCCATCCGATGTCATATGTCAGTGAGTCTGGGGGGCCCGATCGTGTGCCACGGACACCAAGACAGTTCCTGGCCAGGCTTTTAGGGACTACCCGGAAGTCCTTCTTATAAAGCGAAACCCTAAACTCAACTTACCTCACTCACCCTAACTATTCTCATCTCAACGAAGAAAAGAAAAAGAAAAAAAAATTAACTCACCCGTTGATGTTGAATGATGACGTCTTTAACAGGAAAAGAAAAACATGAATATAAAAGATTACAAGAGGACTTACCACCCTCTGTATGATCCAATAAAGAAAAAAAAAAGAAGAAAAAAAATAAAAACTGATACCTACATTTTTTTATTGTGTTGTATTGATTTGAATTGTATAATTTTGTATCGTCGAAATCATTCTAAAATATAAAAAGAAACGATTAATATTTGATTCAATAAATTGAATGATTTTACATAGAAAATCATTCATATTTATATGTTAAAAATCGATAATTTTGTTTGTTTTTTTTCTCGTCAGAGGGTGATGAAAAGATGATAGTAATTAAGCAATCGTCAACATACACACATACATTGATATACACATGGATTATGTCATATTATCATTGATCATCAATGATAACCTGAACAATGACGACTTACGGACGAGACAAGAAAAGAAAAAAAGATATTGTCGTGACCTATATTATTTTTTCATTCTTCGCTCACTTCCATATTCAGTTGTGAGCACGAAACAGACGAGCACACAATATTCAAGTTTGTTCATATTATTCACTTCTTTTTTTGTTCTGTTCGATAGATCAACTTTGGGATATGAACAAACAGTTTATTTTATTTTAATTCAATTTAAATGAAATCATTGAAAAATGATCGATATTGGACTTTAACAGTTCATTCAACATTAAATTTATTTGCTGCTGGTAAGATTCTTCTCATTTTCAAAAAAAAAGAGGTAAAATAAAATATTTGTTTGCTAGATCATGATAATCAAATATTCACGACGATTGGAAATTAGAACATCAAAAGATGTTCCTCTTATATAATTACAAAGGTAAATTTTTAAAAATAAATTAATTGTTTTATTTTATTTGAAAATAATGTTAATGGTCCACGTTCGAAAGATGCTAGTGAATCAAGAAATTCAATATAAAACTCTGAATGATATGATTTATTCGAATTGAACGTTAGGATTTTAAAAAGGTCTAACATTTCAAAAAGAGAAGGATATTTTATCTAAATTGTTCGATATTTTAAATGTATATTGTTTTCTAGGATGTGAAGGTCGTCGTTCATCTGATTTCAATGCCACAGGGGTTGCTTTAAATCTTTTTTATGGATTTTAATACAACAAAAAAAATTTAATTAGCAAATTGTAATGAAATATTTTATGCTGATAGAGGTCTTGATTAATTCGTGAAAATGATCATATTAATATATATGATGCTTAACAAAAATGTTCATTAGCAAGTGTAAGAAAAGGCAAAGTTAAATATACAATGTGGTCAAATGATACGAATTACTTATCATTATTAGGATGATTCAGGTGTTTTTCATCATACAACATCAAATTATATTAAGTATGCATTTATGAATGGTGATCATGGAATTATTCATATACTTGTTTTATATATTTGTATAACAAAAGTTAAAGTAATAGAAAATACGATGAAGTAAAATTTACAAATTTCTTTTCAAAAATCTTCATCTTGAAAACAAATGATGCAAAAACAAGATTTGGCTTAGCACTTGAATATAGAAATATTGATGTAAATTATTTGTGGTTTTTTTTTAATAGTTTCAATTATCTATTTTTTGAAAAATGATGAAAATTGGTTTGAAAAATTTCTTATTGTTTTTATTTTAATTTATTTTTTTTGTTTAGCTGAAGTACGAAAAGATGTTAGTAGACAATTTCAAATTACAATCAAAGTAATATTTTATATTTTTTCTCTATGAGATTGATTTATATTGTGTCTTTTTTTATACAATAGGATCATTTGATGGAAAAGTAATATATTATGGATAAAAAAATGCTCTCATGTTAATACTTCGTCCGAGAGGGTTTTTAAAAAAATTAAAGCAATTTAGAAAGTTTTATTTTTCGCTTTCTAATATCATCAATTGAAAGTCTTGAAAACTAGTTATAGATTTTCATGTAAATATATGAATTTTTTGAACTATTAAATAATTTCTAAACAATCTTTAATTGTATTCAACACATCATTTATCTAAAGAGTTTTCTGTACTGTTGTATCAATAAGTTTGATGACTCTCGAAGTTTATTGCGACATTAAATGACAACATGTTTTTTTAAAAGACATTTCAAATAATCACCATGTCATAGCTAGTTTAGTTTATTTTCTCTGATTGATATTCAGTAGAATGTAAATTAAAAATAGAATAAGAAGACTTTTCATATTCTGTTTCAAAAAAGGAATAAGCCAGTAGACTAAGATTTTAACAAAGTTCTTACTATTACTTGTTCTTTGTTTAATTGATATGTTAGATATGAAATAATAAGATAGGCATACATTTAATCTATATTAATCTCGTGTTAAATTTAGTAATTCAAAATAAAATATTTATTTATTTTAGTTATCTGAAATAAATCTAAATGCTAAATTAATTTTACCACCATGTCCAATAAGTCAACAAGAATCAAAGCAAATTTAATATCAAACATAACAGCAACAAGTGGTTGAGATTGGACTGATGATGAAGTACCAATTGAAAGTGATGACGATGATCTTAATAGAGAAAATCTTAACAATAACCAAGATGAAAAGGACGATGGTTGAGGTGATACTGAAATTGAATTACCACCTGGTCTTGTATGTTTTTATTCAAATATATAAATTATTGGTTTATTTAATAAATATTTTAAAATTTTTATTTTATTATTAAGGCATGATGCACATTCACCAAAATTATTTTATCCAGCAGTTGGATTTAAATTAGAAAAATTCGTTGTACGTTGTGAAATCGCTTATCGTTTAACAAAAAATGGAAAGTTTCAAGATCAACAATGAATTGAAATATGTAAAGAAAATATTGTTGATTTACAAATGTCAATGGCAACAAAAGATTTAGCAAAAGATAATGAAAAACGTTCATGTGAATTAGCTACTGATTTTACTCATTTACAATTACAACCAATACATAAAATCATGACATTAAAATTTGCACTTAATCAAGCATTGTGAATTAATTTCTCAGGTCTACTAGTAAAGAAATCTTTATAAAAACATAGCTATCTTTAATGCACTCCAGATATATCAAATCTGTTGATCGAAGTTATTCATGTGTTTTTGATTGATTGGAAATAACTGAATTTATTCTTTGTTAAATGGAACATAATTTTCGTTCAATTACTTTAGAATATGGACAAAGAAAACAAATAAAAACTTTATTATTATTTTGTTTAGACACGGAAAGTATTAAGTGTACG